TTTGTTTTAATCTTATCGGTTTGATTCTAACCTATCAACTAAACTGCTATCGTGTGACCAAAATTCAAAACTTTTTGCTGTTGAAAATAGCTGTTGTAATCTTTTTTTTTCTTTTGTGTTTTACAACACTGTTAAATAGATCTGAACTTACAGTTATCAACTAAACTGTTAAACCGGAAAAAAATTGAATAACAATAATTTTAACACTACTTTTTTTTGTCTTATGATCAAGCTTTTTATGTATAGCTGAAAAACTCTACTGGCGGTCGCCATTAAGACATTCTGAAGTTTCATCAATCATAATTGTTTTTGTATATTAGGTTGCTGAAACTGTTCTTGATAATTTTTTCCCTTTTTGAAAATCTAATCAGGGTCGACTGTAAGAAGAAATGCTGTTTTTACTAAGGGCGGTGAGAAGGATGTCCCGTGCGAAAGGAACTATCAGTCTTGCTCCTTGGCATTGCTAATAGAGAAAGACACTTCGTTTGGTATGGAAAAAAGCGTGAATAAAGCAAGACAATCATTTGACTTTTTACTCTTCCCCCACGCCCATTGTTCAAAATTATCATCAACAGTACTTGAAATCAAATTTTTTCAATGGATGTTGATGACTAAGCGGTCCGACCAATTGATTGACTGACTGGCTGACTGACTATTGTACCTGGTCTTATTGTATCCACTGCCTTCTCAATTCTGTCTGGTCCTCCTCACACCTATACTTCGCTGAATATGACCTCTAATCATTATAATGTTGCCTGAATATTATTATTATTATTTTTTTTTTGACATTGTTATTAGTTCCAGAAAAAAAAAAAAAAAACCACATTTCCACTCTCATTGAATTTGTAGGTAACCTGGTGTTGATTAAAAATGCTAATGGAAGATGTTCTTTGTTTTTTTTTTTCTTTCTATGAACAGGTTTGTTTAAAAAAACAGAAGAAAAATGGTTGACGTCCATATACTTCTCATCTGCCAATTTCCACCGTCACTTCATATCCAATCGCTTCCGTTTTCTAGCAGTGTTAGTGGGTCATGAAAAAATGTTACTTTCTTTCTGTTTTTCCCCTTCCCCCCTCTTCCTTCCTTTTATTTCCGTCGTATTCTTGTCCTATTATTTGCCTGTGGAGAAGTTCAAGGTTGTGTTCACGAGTTTTGTAGGAAAATTAACTGACTGTTTTTAGGTTGTGTTGTTACTATAATTTTTCCCGTCTTTTAACAAAAAGTACTGGACGAAACCTGGTAAATGAAAATTTTTAGAA